AGATATTAGAGAGCATGAATGTTGTTCTAGGAAGATGAGAAGGCAATCAGTAGAGAACCCGGAAGGGTTTTGGAGGAGGGCAATGAGGATGAGCAGAGACCTCAGAAACATGCCCTAGGAGGAAAGGTTATAGCAATGAAAGGTTATGTTCAAGGAAGTTCTACTCTGAGCCATTGGAATTAATGGACCTAACTTAGGCATGTTCTTTAATTTCAATGGGCCGACTTGAAGTAGGTCTAACATTGGATACACCACAGAGTTGGTTTAGGCTGGAGAAGGGACGACTGAAGGGAGAGAGGAGAGCACTCTTTACATCCATGGAGGGCTGTCAATTGGAAGATGGCAAAGAATCATCCTTTGCTGCCCCAGAGGGGAGGAGTGGGTCTTGAGGCTTAAGTTGCACTAGGGTAGATTTGGATAGAACACTGGGAGGCAATTCCTGATGGCAAAAACAGGGGGAGAATGGACCCAATCCCAACAGAGTGGTATTTTGGAGTGAGAGAAAGTCTGCCCCTTTAGATAGCCACATGCTGGGGACACTTTAGTTTCAAGTTGCTGGACTAAATGACTTCCAGTCTCTCTCAGCTCTCAAATTCTGTGATTCCTGCCTTCTTCATAAAGAAGATCATAGCTGGCCTCTCAGAGGAATGAATCCCCTGCCCTTTTCTTTCTCCTCACAGATGTAGAGGCAGCTACTATGGCCAATAAAAACTGAGGCGCAGATTGGGATCAACCCAGATGCTCAGCAGGTTCACCAAATGATCTCAATGGCTTACCTTCACTGCTTGATACCTCCACTCTGCTCCCGTAGTCCTTAAGCCCTGAATCCAGATTTCATGGGCAGCCCAGAATTCAGGAAGAATTCAGCAACTGCAAATAAATCTTAGCATTCTAGCCTCTTGTTTGGTCTCTTGAATGTGAACCTACAAGATATCTGTCCAGGAGTGTAACAGAACATTCTGGGGTCCAGTATGTGGGTGGGGCCCTCCAACACACTCTCAGAAGAGGACACAGATCTGCAGAGAATTTGCATTTGCTTCCTGTGATATTCAAAGTTGTATCTTATTTTTCAGGCGATGTAGCAGACTCAGAACTAAATCCATGACTGTCCATACTGATAGTATAATACTTGGTGAAAAAAGATTTTCACATTCCCCCCCCCCAAAAAAAACCCCTGTATTTCCAGAGAAGGAAAAGCCTAACCTGTTGAATTTCTGCCAGACACACACAACTCTTAAAGCCACAAGAAACCTCTATTTCCCCAGTTCCAGTGCAAGCCTCTATCCCCAGACCTGGGAGGAAGCCCCATTATCCACAAAGAGACCTACTTTCTAACTATACTGTGAGTTCTCATTGAGTGCCCAGTCCTTAGCTCCTGTATAGCAGGAGGCTTGTCTAAGCCTCATTGCAAAGTTATTACATTTTGCATTTGTTATTTGGGCGCAGGGATCCTCTTACACCCACCCACACTTATTGGAAAAGATCACTTCTAGGGAGTACCTGATTGCAGACAAACCCACCCCTGGAAAGAAGTGTACTTCTTGCTGGTAAAAAACAGAAAGCCAACGAGTGGTGATTCAAATGGCTACTCTGTGAGGCGGTGTAAGAAAAGGTTTATGAATTGATAGGGGTTTTCGCTTCATAACTTTGTTTCCAGTGGAAGGACAGATGGGGTTTTAAAAGTAATACTGTATTTTTCACTCTATAAGACGCACCAGACCATAAGAAGCACCTAGTTTTTGGAGGAGGAAAACAAGAAAAAAAATATTCTGAATCCCTCTTGCTGTTCTGGCTTCTGGGATAGCTGCGCAGCCTGCATTCGCGCCATAAGACGCACACACATTTCCCCTTACTTTTTAGGAGGGAAAAAGTGAGTCTTATAGAGCAAAAAATACGGTAATATAAAAGCTCAAATCTGGGTACTCTGTTGGCTGTGGGTCCAGGACATTAGTATCGCCCATATCTGTCTCTTGGAGGCACTGTGTCTTTTGCAGGAACATAGGCATTAAAAGTGCCCTTCTGAGCTCACACAGGGTACATTTCTCTCACCACTGCACTGGGTCAGATATTATGGTCAGAAATACTCAAAGAGAAGGGAGTCCAAGATGGATGGTAGTTTCTTAAAGGTTAACTATTGAAGGCACAGATGCAGACAATTCCCAGAAGAAAGAAAGTGGAAGGCATCTCAACAAACTGGTGTGGCTGCATAAGGAGCTTACAGGAAAGCTGAGATTTAAGAGGGGGATGTATAAAAAATGGAAGAAAGGGGAAACCAACACAGGGTTTTGGGAAATCACCTGGGCCCATTGTAGTTCAGTGTCTATATAAGCAGCTTGGAGGAAGGAATTGAGGGGGTTCTCATCAAATTTGCAGATGACATAAAACTGGGAGGGGTAGCCAATGCCACAGAAAACAGAAGGATTCAAGAATACCTTAATGTATTGGGAAACCGGCTCCAAAGTAACGAAATGAACAGCAGCAGCAGCAACAACAGCAGCAGCAGCAGCAGCAGCAGCAACAACAACAACAACAACAACAACAACAACAACAACAACAAAACAACAACAACAACAACAACATCAACATCAACTTTTATTATTTGTATGCCATACTTAATAGGCTTGTTTTGGGGTGAATTTTCTCAATGTTTCAACTACAAAACTATTTGTACATGTACATGTATGTGTGTATGCATAGTTTTCTTCAGAGTAGAAGCGCAACGGAACACTGTGATGGAAGCCAGAGTGCACTGAAAGGCCGTTTACCTTCCCACTGCAGTGGTACCTATTTATCTACTTGTTCTGCCAAACTGGTAGGTTGGCAGAAGCTGCGACAGAGCAATGGGAGCTCATCCTGTCACACAGATTCAAGCTGCCAACCTTCCGTCGGCAAGCCCAAGAGGTTCAGTGGTTTAGACCACAGTGCCATCTGCCACCCGCAGGACAAATACCAATCTTCTGACTATTAAAACAAGCCTGGGGAGGGGGGGGGTTGTTCTTCTGAAGACAACTTGTGGCTTCTCCAAAAGTGAACATCTTCCCATCCATGGTGTGCTGTTGTTCATAAAAATGAAGTCTTTATGAATTAATTCTAAAGAATTTCTTGTGTGCAGGAAAATTGATTTCTTTTTCAGGGGAAGAAACAGGTTCTAGAAATCAAATGATGGATTTGGCACACCATTAATTAAAACTCTGCCAAAGGAAAATAGCATTTCCTAATTTACTGAGCAAACAGAACAAAAGCAGTGTATAATTTGAGGAGAAAGAGACATAGAAGTTTTGGGCTGGGCGATGGGGTTTCACGGGGTGGTGAATGCTTCTCTCTGTGAGGGAGCCTTCCCAGACCTGCTGAAAGAGGCAGTTATCAAACCGCTTCTTAAAAAACCATCTTTAGATGCGGCCAATATGGCCAACTATAGCCCAGTCTCAGATCTTCCATCATTGGGCAAGGTGACTGAGCAAGTGGTTGCTGAACAACTCCGGGCATGCCTGGAAGAAGCAGACCATTTGGATCCCTTCCAATCTGGATTCAGGCCTCATCATGGGACTGAAACTCCCTTGGTCGCACTGGTCGATAATCTCCAGCGAGCTAGGGACAAAGGTGAGAGCTGTTTCCTAGTTAGGCTGGATCTCTCAGTGGCTTTTGACACCTTCGACCATAACATCCTCCTGGACCGTCTAGAGAGGCTGGGAGTTGGGGGCACTGTTATACAGTGTTTCTGCTCCTTCCTCCTGGGCCGTGTCCAGAAAGTGGGGGGGGGGATGAGTGTTCAGACCCCTGGGCTCTCACTTGTGTGGTGCCTCAGGGTTCTGTCCTCTCCCACATGCTTTTCAACATCTACATGCAGCCGCTGGGAGAGATCCTCAAGGGGTTTGGGGTGGGTGCTCATCAATATGTGGATGATACCCAGCTCTACCTCTCTTTCAAATCAGAACCAGTGAAGGTGATGAAAGTCCTGTGTGAGTGTGTGGAGGCGGTTGGAGGATGGATGGCAGCTAACAGATTGAGGTTGAATCCTGACAAGACAGAAGTACTGTTTTGGGGGAACAGGAGACAGGCAGGTGTGAAGGATTCCTTGGTCCTGATTGAGGTAACTGTGCCCCTGAAGGACCAGGTGCGCAGCCTGGGAGTTATTTTGGACTCACAGCTGCCCATGGAGGCGCAGGTCAATTCTGTGTCCAGGGCAGCTGTTTATCAGCTCCATCTGGTATGCAGGCTGAAACCCTACCTGCCTATGGACTGTCTTGCCAGAGAGATTCATGCTCTAGTTATCTCTCGCTTGGACTACTGCAATGTGCTCTATGTGGGGCTACCTTTGAAGGTGACCTGGAAACTACAACTAATGCGGCAGCTAGACTGGTGACTGGGAGTGGCCCATGAGACCACATAACACTGGTCTTGAAAGACCTACATTGGCTCCCAGTACGTTTCTGAGCAGAATTCAAAGAGTTGCTGCTGACATTTAAAGCCCTAAACAGCCTTGGTCCAGTATACCTGGAGCGTCTCCACCCCCATTGTTCTACTCGGACACTGAAGTCCAGCACCGAGGGCCTTCTGGCAGCTCCCTCACTGTGAGAAATCAAGTTACAGGGAACCAGGCAGAGGGCCTTCTAGGTAGTGGCAACCACCCTGTGGAACGCCCGCCCACCAGATGTCAAAGAAAAAAACAACTACCAGACTCTTAGAAGACATCTGAAGGCAGCCCTGTTTAGGGAAGCTTTTAATGTTTAATAGACTACTGTATTTTAATATTTTGTTGGAAGCCTCCCAGAGTGGCTGGGGAAACCCAGCAAGATGGGCGGGGTATAGATAAGCAGACGAGGTGCTACCTCCCTGAAGATCATCCCTGGTTTGTTTCCTTTTTTTATTCAACAAAATTTATATACCTCTTGATTGTAGTAAAACCTCTAAGGGGTGTCTCTCTCTCTCTCTCTCTCTCTCTCTCTCTCTCTCTCTCTCTCTGTGTGTGTGTGTGTGTGTGTGTATTCATTAGAAACCAGTTGAAAATAATTTATTTTTTTTAAAAGAATAATAAGGTTAACAGGAAAAGACATTCAAACACATCAGTAGCTACATGTCTGGATAGGCTGGCCTAAGGAATGCAATGCCTCCACCACCACCATCTCGGTTTGCTGACTTTACTCATAACAGAGTTAACCCTTAAATTACACACTGAATGAACTCTGCTGCAAACCTCTGACATTTTCCGCAATCACACATCTCTCTGCCAGGCGAGCAGGAGGCATGTTCACAATTCAAGGACGGAAATGACACATTTAAGAAAAAATACATAAGGGAGCGATGTGCCGTGCAATGCCCTCTTTATTAATTATGTGAAAACAAAACATCAATTGAAGTTTTTTAAAAGCTTTTCTCCTCTTGCCACAATTGATTGCTTATACTTTAGAAATTAAAACAAAGAATGTTTTATTCCTTGCATTACACTTGTGTTATATGCGATTATAGCAAAGAGTGCCAAGGCCGAAAAGAAATGAAAACATCAAAGTTATTAATACCCTTTCCCATCATTCTGGTAATCAATCAATACTTTGATCATCGGTTACACAACAGAAATTAAAACAAAGAATGTTTCATTATTTGCAGTTATATTAAGGATAGTTTCCTATGTAGGATTGTACAGTAAGGAGTGTGTAGATTGCTTGATGTCATACAGATTCTGTTAAGCTCCTCTTTCCACCACTATTGTAATGTGTAGGTTCAAGTTATGTGGTTATGGCTATGCATGTTCTTTCCCTGAAATGGGCTCCAATTCAACCCCTCCAGAGCCTTTTGGGATGGGGGGCAGAGTGGACTTGTGCATGAAATCAAGGCTTCCTGCCCAACCCCCAATCCCCCGCCCTAAAAACCTGGAGCTGAACTGAATCCATAAGCATCAAGGTCCTCAGATATGTTGGTGGGTGGGGTCCAAAGGAACTGATTTTTAGATCAATCTGGGATTCTGCATTCTGGGTTGAGGTGCCAAGGAGGAAGATCTGCAATGAGGACTACTCTGTTGCACTGGCTCCTTGTCTTATGTGGCTTCACTGAACGATGGCACGTTTTCCTGCATACCTGTCTGAAGCAGCAGGCCCTATTTGTAGAAAGAAGAGAGGTTTAGGACTCACTGCTACAGAAGTGGCTTTCTACCCTCCCTACATTGATTTGCTTATCAGTGGCGCTGTGGGTTAAAGCCTCAGCGCCTAGGGCTTGCCGATCGAAAGGTCGGCGGTTCGAATCCCCTGTGGCGGGGTGCGCTCCCGCTGCTCGGTCCCAGCGCCTGCCAACCTAGCAGTTCGAAAGCACCCCCGGGTGCAAGTAGATAAATAGGGACCGCTTACTAGCGGGAAGGTAAACGGCGTTCCGTGTGCTGCGCTGGCTCGCCAGATGCAGCTTTGTCACACTGGCCACGTGACCCGGAAGTGTCTGCGGACAGCGCTGGCCCCCGGCCTATAGAGTGAGATGGGCGCACAACCCTAGAGTCTGGCAAGACTGGCCCGTATGGGCAGGGGTACCTTTACCTTTACCTTTTTAACTTTCCTCCCCTGAACATCTTTTCGATTTGCTTCAGGAAGCTCAGTGTAGTAGATGGGGAGGGGGGGGACTGCTCATTGTTTTCCTTGGGCTTTATCCAATGCTATGGCCAGGAATGGGCTAATGTCTCAGGATGAATGAGGCACAGTGCCCCATAACCTCAATCAACCTTCACCTCACCTGCCAGCTTCTTAATTACAACAGACCCAAGGGGTGGCACTGCCAGTCAGCTCCCTTCCTCTCATCTTTTGCCCTTGCAGAACTCATCTCTGTGGAGGAAGGGTTCTGCCTGTAATTGGTTCTGGAACTACTTACCCATGGCCATGGGTCCAACAAATGAAATAGGCTCCCCCATTTCCCACATGTCCACTTTGTAGTAAAGAGAGGGCATTCAGCAGAGCTCAGACTGTTCAGCTCTGCTGAATGTCCTCTCTTTACTACAAAGTGACACACTTTCCGGTTCAGTTTGTTTAAGCACCACATGCCAAGGAACATGCACCATTCCAGGCCTAATGAGGCTACAACGACTTTCGTAATAAATGCCCCAGATTGTCCCCATCTGGCCAAGCTCACCCTGACCATTGATTTTACCTGCGTTATGGTTCATCTGTTAAATTGCACTGCTGTTTGGAACGGGACCTCCATAGCAGATTCCATGCCTCATTTGTAGGTACAGCCAATTCAGCTTCTTCCCAAGATTCTGCCTGGCACAGGGGGTTACTTCCCCATGGCACCTAACGTTTCTCACCACCTCATTGGTTCTCCAACGACACAAGATGTTGGTCATGCAACTCCATCCTTAAGTGCAGTGTGAGGGTTCATTTCCCCCATGACTTGTTAATTTTCAAATGCAGCAAGAGTCCCCCTGCCCCAGCAATCTGAACTGCCAGATTGGTGGGGATTTGTGGGTATGATTCCACCCCCCTGTACTTTTATACCACTTTTTGTATCAGGAGGGATTCTGATACGTTTTACAAAGCCTGATAAATTAATAAATCAAATACTACAGTTTATAGAAGAGATTAAACATCAACAACCATAGAACAAGATTATTCTCGCTCAATAAAGACCGAATTGCCTCACCTACTAAAAACACCCCTATACCCCCTTCAACCTGCTCTCCCACACTTGCAAACACGGGCAGGGACAGAGTCTCCCACATCCCCATCCAATTCCATCCCTCCATTCAGAGGCAGGACTTCTCCAGACTGAGTTGAAGAGTGTTTTATGGGATGGATTCCAGCACATCCCAGGAAATTTAGGTATGTGCAATCAATGTGGATTAAAGGGGTTTGTTTCCCTCATGAAATGGGTGGAGAAAGAAGGTCAGATACATTCCACCACAATCCCCAGTGGGCCAAATGTAACAAGTGGTGTGTCTGCCCACCTGTCAATCAACTTATATCAGGAGGTCATCAACTGATGGTTGGAGTCTCAACACTCTGGATTGGGGCTCTTTTCCAACCAAGATCCCTTCATTACATGTGGAAGCTCAGTACTACCTGACACACCTTGTAGCTCAGGTGACTCATGTGTCCCTTATCAGCACTGGGCACAGCTCTTTACAACAAAGTGCACCTTCTTCCTCACATGCTAGATTTCAATGCGCAGGGAAGGTATGCCAAATTGTCCATGATTCAGCATCATGGACATACTTTGCAAGTATGCCTGCTCTAACCTCTGTTTCCAGTGAGAACCCACAAGGCATCTTGCTTCAAATTTGCAGTGTTTCTGTTGTCGCAATAGAAAACACTTCTCTTTTTGTCGGGCAGTCAGTACATGCAACGTTAGGAAATAAAGAAAGTTAAGTGAAAATTAGAGGCATCTGTGTACAGAATACTGTGTAAACAAACATAGGAAGCTGCCTTATACTCGATCTGACTACCTGACCATCTAACCCAGGGATGGGGAGCCTGTGGCTTACCAGATTTTATTGAACTACAAATCCCATCATAATTGATCACTCCCTGTCTATGCTGGCTGAAGTTGATGGGAGCAGGACATGGACACCTTCTGGAGGGCTACAGGTTCCCCAACCCTAATCTAGTCCAGTATTTTGACTAGATTTCAGGCAGAAATCTTTTCCATCATCTGATACCAGATCCTTGTAATCTGGAGATACCAGGGCCCAAACCTGGGATCTTCGACATGCAGACCCCAGCATGGAATGAAGAGGCCAAAACTGTACGTTTTTGTACTTCATTACCACTGGATCCTATTTTGGATTTTCGCTGTTTTTAATGGCATTTTTATCAGGGCATTTTATCCTCAAAAATAATGGGTTATGCTGACTGAGGATTTGAAACTGGGTTTTCCTCAGCCTTAGTCCAATACACTAACTAACCACTACACCAGGCTGTCTCTTTATGTATCGCATAAGCACAGATCCCAAATGAAGCTAACATAATGTAGCCAATGGAGAGGGATATAGACCAAGGAAATATATACTGCAATATATGTTGATTTGTTTTAAGATACCAACAACTGTTTGCTGTTAAAGCTTCTTTGTGCTTTTTGCTGTTGTTTAGTCATTTAGTCGTGTCCGACTCTTCATGACCCCATGGACCAGAGCACACCAGGCACTCCTGTCTTTCACTGCCTCCCGCAGTTTGGTCAAACTCATGCTGGTAGCTTCGAGAACACTGTCCAACCATCTCGTCCTCTGTCGTCCCCTTCTCCTTGTGCCCTCCATCTTTCCCAACATCAGGGTCTTTTCCAGGGAGTCTTCTCTTCTTATGAGGTGGCCAAAGTATTGGAGCCTCAGCTTCACGATCTGTCCTTCCAGTGAGCACTCAGGGCTGATTTCCTTAAGAATGGAGAGGTTTGATCTTCTTGCAGTCCATGGGACTCTCAAGAGACTCCTCCAAAGCCACTTCCGAGCTGGTGAGGAGGTTGGGTTGTGGGCCCACCCCCTCCCCATGCACGCGGGGCTGTCTCTCAGCCCCCGTGAGAGTAGGGGAATCCTCGGGCGCGTCACCGACCCAGCCAGCCAATCGGCAGGCCGGGGAGGCATGGCCTAGCACATTTAATACTGGCGCGCCCAGAGACCACCCTCTCTTCCCCGTTCCAGCTGCTCAGGTTTTGTCGGAACTTTCCCTTTGTTTTGCTGTGGTTTTTGCTTTTGTCTTTGCTTTGGCTTCTTTGAGTAGTCAAAGTTTTTTCACGCGAGCTCAACCGTGTGGGAATTCGATCACCGCTACCCTCCTCGCCTGCGCCTGGCCGGAGCAGAAAGAGCTGAAATCACTCTCCAGACCTCGGTCTCGGGCCGAAATCACTGAGCGCTCCGAGCGAATTCGGGCAGAAAACGGCAGGCGTGTGCGCGATCGGAAAGATTTTCTTTAGTGGCAAAGGACCATAGCCCAGAAGTTAAGAAGGCTCCGTGGAGGCAACGGCCGGCGGCGGACGCATTAGAGGGTGGCCGCGCTGTGTCGTGGAGAGTCTGCTGGGTTCATCTTTGCGTAACATCTCCAGACGGTAACGTAGCGGCGCGCTGAGGCGCGGTTACTTTGGCGTTCACACTATTAGGTCCTTCTGTCCCAGTTTTCCCTTCCTCCTGGTCGTTTTCACCACCTTCCCCCTTGTTTTTCTACCGCCTTTGTCCTTCCGCCTTGCTTGTCCCCCTCCTTGCCTCCTTGCCTCCTGTCCTAGCGCATTGCTCTGTCCCTGAACAGTTCCACTCTCCTTTCCTGCCAGCGCATTGCTCTGCCCCTGCACAGTTCCACTCTCCTTTCCCGCCAGCCACAGGCTTCCCCCTCCCTCCACAGGCGGCGGGGTGCTCGGGAATGCTGGTGCGGGTTTAACCGCTTGATCAACGGTAGCACGCGCCTGCCGCCCAATCTGGGGGGGCTTAGCGGAGAAGCACTAGAAGCCGGTTTGAGGCAGACTGTAGCTCACGACGGGAAGGCGCTGGGGTGCAGCTTTCTTATTTCAAACTGATCAGGGCCAGGATATTTGAAGCTGCGGGTTGCTCTTCTGGCTACAGCTTTGAAACTGCTTCTTACCCGGCAGCTGGCAGTGTAAGGAGAAGCCGTGTCTGGCTGTTGCCACGGTTACAGGGTCACGTGGCGCCGCCATTTTAGTTAGACCACGTGGCGCACTTCGACGGCCATTTTGAGTAAGGCAGCCCCCAGTGGGAGGGGCGTTCCAGCGTTTAGCCAGGCTGCTGGTTTGGGCCGCCTTTCCGATTGGCAACCATAGGGTTTGTTTCAATCCAGATAACCAGGCAGTAGTAGCTGTGCTTGCCAGGCAGTCCGCACATTCCTCCAGAGTGGGTAACCTCCTGCGGTCCTTTGTCCTCCTGTGCCTTGAGCAGAATATATATTTCTTCGCCAAATTCGTTCCTGGTGTTAATAATGACATTGCGGATGCTCTGTCTCGTTTTCAGATGGATTGCTTCTGCTCATTAGCGCCGGATGCTCAACAGTCACCGCTACCTTTCCCGGAGCATCTCTGGAGCCTTGGGAGCGAGAAGTGATGAAGGGAGTATTGGGAGCGGTTGCCCCTTCCACTATGAGATCCTATGAGAAGGCTTGGGCCGATTTCTTAAGGTTTTGCAGTAGT